AGCTCTCTTTTCTCCGTTTTTTGTTTTTTTTTTCTGTTTCAGAATTATTATTTTTAAGATTTTTTTTTTTTTGCTGTCTGGTTGGGCTCCTTTTTTTTTTTTTTTAAGATTTATTTTATTTATTTGAAAGAGTTATAGAGAGAGGCAAAGAGAGAGAGAGATCTTCCATCCCCTGGTTCACTCCCCAGATGCCGCAATGGCCAGAGCAGCGCCGATTTGAAGCCAGGAGCCAGGAGCTTCTTCTGGGTCTCCCACATGGGCACAGGGGCCCAAGGACTTGGGCCATCTTCTGCCTTCCGAGGCCATAGCAGAGAGCTGGATCAGAAGAGGAGCAGCCGGGACTAGAACTGGTGCCTATATGGGATGCCGGCACTTCAGGGGTGTTAACCTGCTGCGCCACAGTTCTGGTCCCTCAGAATTATTATTAAGGGGCTGGTGCTGTGGAGTAGCAGGTAAAGTTGCTACCTGCAGTGTCCGCATCCCATATGGGCGCAGGTTTAAGTCCTGGCTCCTCCACTTCTGATCCAGCTCTCTGCTGTGACCTGGGAAAGCAGCAGAAGATGGCCCAAGTGCTTGGGCCTCTGTGCCCATGTGGGAGACCCAGAAGAAGCTCCTGGCTCCTGGCTTTGGATACGTGAAAGGATTGGCAAAGCTCCGACTGTTAACAGTCATTTGGGAAGTGAACCAGCAGATGGAAGACCTCTCTCTCTCTCTCTCTCTCTGCCTCTCCTCTCTGTGTGTGTAACTCTCACTTTCAGATAAATAAATATTTTTTTAAAAAAGATTTATTATTAAAAGAAAAATGAGGGGAGGAGTTGGCACTGTGGTGTAGTAGGCTGGGCCTCTGCCTGCACATAAGCATCCCATATGGGTGCTAGTTTGTTCCCAGCTGCTCCCTTTTCAATTCAGCTCCCTGCTAATAGCCTGGGAAAGCAGTAGAAGATGGCCGGGCCGGCGCCGCGGCTCAATAGGCTAATCCTCCACCTAGCGGCGCTGGCATGCCGGTTCTAGTCCCAGTCGGGGCACCGGATTCTGTCCCGGTTGCCCCTCTTCCTGTCCAGCTCTTTGCTGTGGCCAGGGAGTGCAGTGGAGGATGGCCCAAGTGCTTGGGCCCTGTACCCCATGGGAGACCAGGAGAAGCACCTGGCTCCTGCCTTCGGATAGGCGCGGTTCGCTGACCGCAGCACGTCAGCCGCGGCGGCCATTGGAGGGTGAACCAACGGCAAAAGGAAGACCTTTCTCTCTGTCTTTCTCTCTCTCTCACTGTCCACTCTGCCTGTAAAAAAAAAAAAAAAAACTTTTTCATGATTCTTATACTGGCCAACTGAGAGACCTAGAAGAAGCTCCTGGCTCCTGGCTCAGAACAGCCCAGCTCTGGCTGTTGCGGCCATTTGGGGAATGAACCAGCAGATGGAAGACTTTTCTCCCCCTCCCCACCATCCCTAACTCTACCTCCCAAATAAAATAAATTAAATATTTAGAAAAAAGAAAGCCGAGAGAGAGGTTTTATACCAAACCAGACTGTGAGGGGTACCTGCTGAAGACCTGTCCCAGCGACCTACTTGGGTTAAGTTCCACATATTAGTGTGACCTAGGACTTTGGGGTTTAAATATCTGCAGGAGTCCAGGGAGCCATATCTTATTCAAACCACGGTGAGGATCTTCCTTAATTCTCAGAAACAACCTGCCCCAGTTATTTCTTTTTTCCGAGAATTAAATGAGATAAAACGGCTCAGGATCTAAATGCATTGGTGAAATTTTCTGACTCTTTATCACCGTTGCTTTTTCTTTTGCGTTCCAAAGGCAGGTTTCTGTTCTTGTTTTTATAGTCACTCCGTGGAAGCAATTCTACTACACAGGTTAACTGCACAGACTAGGAAACCAAACACTGAGTTTGAGTCCTGATATCAGTGGCTTGCCAGCTGTGTGACCTTGTGCCTCAATTTCTTCGCCTGTGAAGGGGGACTGAGGATAGCAGCTACCTCAGAGGATCCTTGTGAGGATTAAGTGGGGCCACCATTGTGAAAGAGATTAGCACAGTGCCTGTTTCACAGCTCCGACGCCACAGACCCATCCTGTCCTTTGCTGTCTGTGTTCCGTGGACCCTCACTGGATCCTGGGCTGTGGGAGGGGGGGATCTTCTGCATCTTCCAATCCTCTAGCAGCACCTAGTGCAGAAGCACTTTCGCTACAATGTATACACCTGTGAGTGTTTGAGACACTTGCAAGTTCATGACACAAGCTGCCCTTTAATTACTTGTTTTAAAAAACTATTTGTTTATTTGAAAGGCAGTGTAACAGAGAGAGAGAGAGAGAGAGAGAGAGAGAGAGAGAGACTTTTTGTCCACTGGTTAACTCTAAATGCCTGCAACAGCCAGGAGCTAGGAAATCCATCCTGGTCTCCCATGCTGGAGGCAAGAAACCAAGTACCTAGGCCATCATCTGCTGCCTCCCAGGCACATTAGCAGGAAGCTAAATCAAAAAATGGAGGAGCCCCAGTTACTACCAGGCACTCTGACATAGGATGTAGGTATCCCAAGGGTAGGGGAGCGGCTTAACCTGCTCTGCCAAAACACCGACCAGTCTTTTTAAGAAAGTAATTACTGAATCAGGCTGGCCATTCAACAGCTTCTGCCCTATTTTTAAAAACCAGGTGATTGCTACGCTGCTCCTGTGAACAGGAAGCCTTTTTTAAACTTCAAGCCTTCTCCAAGCTCCCTACTCGTTTATGGATGGGGAGGTGCTTGCCTTCCGACACAGGTGGAGGCATTCAGCTGGAAGTAAACCTGAAACCCAGCCCTCCCGCCCTCCTTTTCCCCTCCATCGAGCAGAGACAGGGACAATGTACCTGCTAAGAGGCTTCCAGACCTGGCCTCCGAGGCGCTGCTCTGTGGGAGGCAGGGATTCCCGGAGGGCTGGGGCTCAGGTTACATCACACTCTCCCACAGCCCTCAGGCTTGTTTATTTACTTTTCAGCCTCTTGCCCAGCCTGCGAGGAGGGGCCAGGAAGAGGCTTCAGAGGAGAGTGAAAATGGTAGAAAAGGAAATATCTGATTAGCAGTTAACATGTCCCCTGGGGCTGCTTTGACTGGGGGCGATGGTCCAGTGCTCTGTGTACTGATTAAGCACTCCCAGAGGAGGAGTGGGCTCTACACAGAGTTGGGGCTTTGTTTGTGAGGAGCTGCAGCTGCTGTGCACCGGGACCAGACCAAATCGGGCATGCAGAAGAAGCGGTCCCAGGTCCACGCCCACGGGGCTTGCTCCCAGGGCACAGCACTGGTCTTCACCTGCACCCGCGCGCTCTTCTGTCCTGCCCCTCATCCCACACCTGCCAGGTTGCTTAGCCTGTAATGTGGAGTCAGCCTCGATCCTGTCTCTGTCACCAGCTCCTGTGCGCTTTGCTACCATTTTCTTCTTTCAACTCCCACTGGCACCGCCCTCCTTCAGGCCCTCCTCAAGTCTACTCGCCTCATGTCTTCCTTAAAGATCTTTCAGCCTCAAGTGCTAGGCCTCGCGTTCCATTCTCCATGTTACTGTCAGGGAGCTTTTTCTTAGTTTAAAATCCATCGGGGCCATCCATGATCTGCGTTAAGTGCGCTCCCTGGATCCTGGTTTGCCAAGCCCGCTTCTCCAGCTTGTGTCCTGTCACCTCTACAGCTTGTGAGCCCTTGCATTCCGGCAGTCCTGACCTGCTTGCAGTTCCCGACACATCCAGTATACACTCTCAAACCTTGCAGCTGCAGCTTGCGGTGTTGGCTCCTCCTGCCCGGAATCCCTCCCTTCCCCGGAGGCTTCTCTCCTCAGGTTTCCCTCACCTGTGCCCCCAAACATCTACCCTAACATTTATCATAAACTGCATTGACTCTCCCACTGGGCAGAGCAATGGGCTGCTTCCTAGCACCTAGCTTTGGCACATAGTAGTTGCTTAATAAATATTTGATAAATAAATTATTAAAGTCTACCAGCCATATGAGAGTTCAGAGTTCAAGAATATCTTATAGTATCTGGCTCTGGAAGACGGAACTTTGTATCAGTTATTGCCATTATGTTGTTGGACAGGGAGATGTTCACACAAGATAAAGGGATTGTGTTTCTTCAAGCTACAGTAAGGAGCGCTTACTACTTTAAAGGCCAGTTTAAAAGACCGTTTCTCTGGACTTTGATTAGACACTGGATTTGCCAGTTTAGGATGAACGCTTGGGAGTTCAGGAATTACACCCACCAAGCAAGTGTTTCCAGAAATGTCAAACCTGCTACAGAAAAAATGCCATTCTAGGGCCGTAGTGATTAACATCTATTTCTCATTATCTGTAGAAGCGGTGCGAGAGGTGGGCTCGGGAGTCGTGAGGGGAAATCTGCCGGAGGAGGGCTCTTGGCGGCACACACAGGGAATGACTTTGCAGCGCGACAACGTGGATCCTTGAGAAGTAGGTGACCTTAGCCCGAAGGGGGCCTTCTGCGGAGCGGATTTCTGCACCCAAGGGGGACGCCGAGTTTCCACACAAGCATGCAGGCGAGCCCGCCCTCCTCCGGGGTCCCCTTCTCTTCCACAGCGCGCAGGGCGAGCCCCGAGGAGGCAGTGCGAGCAGACGGGGTCCAGGAGGCCGTCCTCGGACTCTTCGAACGTAGATTCCTTCGAACCTATAGATCTTTTCGAGTCCTGGATTCTGTCGATTCTCGGCGCTAAGCGTTAAAGCGCCTCGGAGGAAAGCTGCAACAAAGGTGGGAGGGAGCCAGGAAGGGGACTCAAAGAGAAAGGGGGCGACAGGCCCAGAGAAGAGGCTGAGAGCGCAGAACGCCGAAGAGGAAACTGGGAGGCGGGGAGGAGAGCGAGAAGAGCCTCAGCAAAGGAGAGGGACCACACTCGGGGGCGGCCGGCGCGGGGAAGGCGCACCCTGAGGGAATCGGCCGCTTTAAGGGCAGCCCCACCCCCTGGCGTGACGCCGCTGCAGGCCCGCGCGCGATTGGCTGCGGCCGGAGGGCGGGATGGGGTTGCTAGGCGCGGAGGGGATCCGGCTGGCCCCGGCTGCCCGGAGCGCGGAGCTGCGGGAACGGAGCCGGGGTTAGCGGCGCTGCTGGAAGATGGCGAGCGGCGGGGACGCGCGGCCGCCGTGGCGGCCGGGGCGCCTCCCGCCGCTGCTGCTGCTGTGCCTTCTGCTGCTGAGGAGCCCGGGCCGGGCGGCGCACATCAAGAAGGCGGAGGCGACCACGACGACGACGAGCGCTGGCGCCCCGGCGGCCGAGGGCCAGTTCGACCGCTACTATCACGAAGAGGAGCTGGGCACGGCGCTGAGGGAGGCGGCGGCCGCGGGCCCCCCCGGCCTGGCCCGCCTCTTCAGCATCGGCCGCTCGGTGGAGGGCCGGCCGCTGTGGGTGCTGCGCCTCACGGCCGGCCTGGGGTCGCTGCTCCCTGACGGAGACGCGGCGCCCTTGGCCGAGGGGCCCGACGCGGGGGGCCCGCTGCTGCCCGGCCGGCCGCAGGTGAAGCTGGTGGGCAACATGCACGGCGACGAGACCGTGTCGCGCCAGGTGCTGGTCTACCTGGCCCGCGAGCTGGCGGCCGGCTACCGCCGCGGGGACCCGCGCCTCGTCCGCCTGCTCAACACCACCGATGTGTACGTGCTGCCCAGCCTCAACCCCGACGGCTTCGAGCGCGCGCGCGAGGGCGACTGCGGCCTCGGCGACGGCGGCCCGCCCGGGGCCAGCGGCCGGGACAACAGCCGCGGCCGCGACCTCAATCGCAGCTTCCCGGACCAGTTCAGCACCGGCGAGCCCCCGGCACTGGACGAGGTGCCGGAGGTGCGCGCCCTCATCGACTGGATCCGGAGGAACAAGTGAGTGTCGCCCCCCCACCCCCACCCCACCCCCTGCCGGCTCCGGCACCCAGTAGGCGCTCAAACAACGTTCGCTGGCCCCAGGGGTGGGGTAGTGTTCCACACCCTGGAACAGGGCCAGGGGCCAGGACGCTTGGCCTCCCGTCCCGCTAATTGTCCTGGAGGCTGGCACTCGCTCTCACGGGACCACAACTGTGCTACCTTGAAGGTAAGGTAGCCCAGGCCCCCGGGGCCTCAGCGTGTAGCCGGAGCCCTGTCCGTGTTGCTCTGTAAGGAAGGTAGGCACTCCGCACTTAACTGTGGCTGCTTCTCCCGATTGATGTTGGCCACAGGCTGCTGACAGAAGTCATAGGTAGTGGCCCTGTTTTGCATCGAGGGACAGGTTGGTTAACTGATTTTACAAAGTGTGGCGTGTAGCAGGGACCTAGACTCAGGCCATCTGACTGGACGCCGGTGCGGAGAGTGCAGCCCAGAAACGGTAAATGACACACCCACACACCCACACACCCACACCCGTGTTCCTTTTGGTTACTTGACAGAGACTGGTTCTCCTCCAGTTTACCTGTCTCACAGCCAAGTGGCGGATGCACCTGGCTGGAGGTCTCACACAGCCCCCAGCTGTTTCATTTTGCACCCCGGTATTACTAGGCCTGAGCACAACGGTGGATTGTCACACTTAGCACACGCCCTGAGCGTTATCACGCGCTGGGTGGGCCTTAGGGAACCAGAAAGCAGGAAGACCTCAAGAAATTAGTCTATAACAAGAGTACTATAAATACGCCTATCTGTGGGGTGTGCGTGTGCCCAGGTACACCTGTTCCCACTGGCAAAAGGTGCCTGGGCTGCAGTAACAGGGATCCTCTCTGTGGAAGAGGTAGAACTTGAACTGAGTGGGTAGAACTCACAGCAAAAAAGGAGAAGAATGAAGGAGGAGGGGGCTTCCTGCGAATGGAACCGTGTCTGAAGTGAGAACGTCCCTCATCACCTTTTCCAAGTGTCAGCTTTGTCACCACGTCCCCATTTTTTGTCTTCATAAAGCTTTAGAAGTAGTTGGTAATCTTCCCGTCTTGAGCTGAAGGTGATTTCTGAGTGACAGGTACAATAAAGGTAATGAACAAGGAAGTTTTCCTGTGAGATTCTATAGGATTTCAGTCACACTCGTAGAACAGATCTCAAAAATTCATAGGCATTGTGACCATTCCAAGTTCTTTTTATCTGCTGCCTTTCATTTTACTCCCCTTTATAAATGCCCTTGTAGACACTTACTTTCACATACACTTTCTTGGGAGATTTTTCCTTTTAAAGATGACCATGTTGTGACCTTTGAATAGCTGCGCAAATTTGGCTTTGACATTTCGCCTGTGTGTCAAAAGCTGAGGTTGCTGGGGCTTTTCAGAGATGCTATATCATGATAGTGCACTATTTGCATTGCTTAAATGTTTAAAATGCCCTGTCAGAACCCTTGGAGGGTGTAAATTCTGTGACTAGATTTTTGTCTTTTGCATTAACTCTGCTGTGACCAAACATGAGTCACCTTGAGACTATACTGAAAGCTTAAATCTGGAACCACACATTCACTCTCTGCTTATCTCTTTCGCATCACCAGTATGTAATGATTTTAAGTTATGGTCTGGGCCAGTGAGCTCAATGATAGGAGCTTCTGAAGATCATAAAAGCTTGCAGGTGCTGGTTGTTACTACACAGAGAGATGCTCTAGCCTGTGCTACCCTAACGGTACAACCATTTTTCAAACGTGTAACTCTAATAAACGGTAAAGTCAGTGATTAGACAGGGTGAAGAGTATGTCTACCTTTCCTTAGTCTTCAAATATTACCTCAAAGTGCATGTTCCTTAGTAATTAGTAACAAAGGACACATGCATGAATAAAATTGAAGCCACAAGCACACACAAATTTGAGACTCATACCTAAAGAAAGACAGAGTCGGTTTTTGCGTAGGATATTTTCCTATCACAAATACTAGCCTATATGGCAAAATTACCTTTTCAGTATATTTTGAGAAATTAACAATTTTGAGTGATTTCTTGTTATCCTATTCCCTTATCTGTGTTAGGAGTAGATTTTTATTTTGAATAAGTAAAATTTTAAGACTTCTTAGGAAAGTGAAGTTTGTTTTTGTTGTTTCACTTTATACTTTATCCAGTGGGTGTTTTTATACTATTGATAACTGAGACAAATATTTAGGAGAATATAAAATATTTTAACTCCATCACTAAAATAAAGATTTAGTACATGACATTTTTAGGTAAATATATCTGCTTGAACTTTAATAAGTGGCTAGCATCTACTTGTAAACAGTCTTCTGATATGTTTGTGAAAAGTGTTATAGTGTTTGGGTACCTATGGATTGTTTTGGGGGTACTTGTACATATCTATCTACAATTTTCTAAATCTTTGAGTTTTGGTTCATCAAATATCAACTTCTCCATGGTTTTTGAGAGTTACCTGGAGAGCATTATAGGTTTAGAGATTAACAGTTTAATATTTATAGGCTTTTTAATAATACCTTTAGCAGCTACTTTAAATCTTATGTAAGAAATGACATATGATACTAACTCAAGTGTGAGGAACAGTTGTGAGAAATGATTTGAAATGAAACCAGAAAATACTTTTCAAATAAGATTGGAGATGAGATGCAAAGTTGATTATTTCAAAGAATCAAAGGAGTAACCTCATAGCCACTGTGATATGTGTCACTTTCTTTTGAAATCCTTATTAGAGTGGCATTGGTACTTTAATAGATATGTGATTAGAGTAAAAAAACTAATTGAAATTTGCAACTCAAGTAGATTGCAAATATTTCATTGTTCTATAAGTATTTGGTTAGGACATTTTAACAACATTTTTGAGAAATGTTGCAAGAAATATCAAACAAAATGAACCACAGCATTTAGTAGAGACCCTTGGATTTCAAAATTTTCATAAAAATGTATAATTAAAGAAGCTTGCTTCAATTATTTAGAATGTTCGGCACATAATTGATACTCAAGAATTCTGTTGCTGAATGGATTGCCTGAACGGTGCCAGCCTTTTTATAACTATCTCAAAGTCAGTAGAGGGAGAAAAAAAAAAAAGGACCTAAGTTACTTTAGAAATACAAACCAGAAAATAAATTGTTAATACCTTAGGTAAGGGGGAGATGTGGGTAGGAGGAGTTCTTTACCGAGATGCCCACCTGCTCTGTCAGGTGTACTCTTCGTTATTTTTCTTCACCGAATGTTGCTAGCATATTTACCACTTAAAAAAGAAAAAGACAATGTCTTGGAAGTAGGGAAGAGAGTGGAAGTTTGTAAGGCACTGATATCCTAAACAGGATGCCAGAGATCTCCAAAGAAATGGATTTCTGTTGAACCAAAGCTGTCACACAGTTTTTGTACTAAAAGATATTTCATGTGTGTTTTTAATTTTCACAAGGACTCTGAGAATCAGATGGCATTAATCCCCATTTTACAGATGAGGTGGAAACTGAGGGTCCGCTATTTTATAGACAGTGACTTCTGGTCATATTACTGGTGAGCAACAGATCTGGGAAACCAAATGTTCTTATAGCTATGTTTGCCTGGCTCCAAAGCCTGTGCTGTTGCTGCTACACCAAATGGCATTCTCCTCTGGTGTCTGGAAGGATGCTAATTATATTAGTTTTTAACTGGTCTCTTCATAATCTAGTCCAGCATTTAATCACCATTATTATTGGCTAAATTCTATCTTCTGATGAACAGATTTTGTGTTACAAGCACTTTTCATTGTTCAATCTTCCAACCTTTCATATTTGACAGATGATAGATTTAATTTTCTTTCTAGCAAACAGAAAGAAATAGTTCTTTGATTTTCTATGGGTCAGTTAATTCAACTACAGGTGGGCATAAGCAAGAAAATCCACTGTAGAGTATAAAGAAAACAGTATTTCATCTTTACTTACAAGTAGAGCTTTGCACTGTTACATAAGGGAAAGATGCAAAAGTAGGTCTTAAGCCTGTTTTTTGTCTTTAGCTGTCACCATAAAAGCAGTTCTTCAGTATTCCTATATCCATAAATTTGATCAACTTATAAATTGATTCACATAATAGAAACATTTTAAAAAAATGTTTCTTTTATGGGAGAAGCCTGATTCCACATCAGTTCATTCATGACTCAATCAGAAAACTTGGGGCAATGGAGAGCTCGTCTTTGATTGTCTGGGTTTGTTTTTTTCTGAAAGCAGCTCACTGTTTCAGGTTTTTTTGTTTTTGTGGTTTCCCCTAAATCTTCTCAACTGTGGCTTCTCTTTTGAAAATGTGAATTTAGTATGGGTATAGTGTGAAACTAGAATGAAATTAAATACATCCTGTTTTACATTAACTGTCTGTCTTAAATAATAAAGGTTATTAACCTAACCCATGTATTCAACAAGTACTTATTTATATGAGCCACAATTTCTATGAAATTGACATATTGTAAAATTCAAGTATTAGATTGAGCTATATGATATTGTCATTTTTTAGAGCAAAAACCAGTTAAATATGGACAAGTTCATTAGTTCAATCTAATACATGAATTTGGGATTCTTTAAGACATTTCCTGACGCACTAATTTATGTTGTGTTTTTCAGTTACTTTTTCAGGTATGGAAAATTCTAAAGTTCCTTGAGGCTATCCTGAATGATGAATGCTGTTTGAATAACATTTTAAATTGATAATAGTTTCTTTCCATTTTCTTTTCTGTTGCTGTTAGGAGTGGTCTGCTTATAATAGAGGTGGTAGTTGTCTAGGTTTCCAAGAGATATGTGAGTTTGTTTTTGAAAGATGATGTGGAAATTTTAAATGCATATGCCTTTCTAAAGTGATATGATTTGATTGTGTTTTCAAAGATTTGTGCTTTCTGGAAATCTGCATGGTGGCTCGGTGGTAGCAAGCTATCCTTTTGATGATTCTCCAGAACATAAGGCCACTGGAATCTATAGCAAAACCTCAGATGATGAAGTCTTTAAATACTTGGCAAAAGCTTATGCATCAAACCACCCTATAATGAAAACTGGTGAACCTCATTGTCCAGGAGATGAAGATGAGACATTCAAAGATGGAATCACAAACGGCGCACATTGGTATGATGTGGAAGGTATGCAAAGCACTGAACTGGCTGTTTTCCCTTCTTATTCACTTAGCTTTCTTAAGTATATTTTGATGGAATTGAGGAAACTGCAGAGTTCTAATTTTGAAAAATCTTACCCCTTTTTATTTTGAAATTTTCAAACCCATGGGGAAATTGAAAGAAGACCCGATGAACATCTGTAGGTCCTTCATTTCTTTTCTCTTTTAAAATTAATTATAAATTACTTTATTTGAGGAGAGAGCTCCTGTTGCTGGCTGATTCCCTAGATGCCTGCCAGAGCTGAGGCTGGGTCAGGCTCAATTTGGGAGCAGCGAGTTCAATCCAGGTCTCTCATGTGGGTGGCAGGAACCCAACCCCTTGAGCTGACATCTCTGCCTCCCAGAGTCCACATTAGCAGGAAGCTAGAAACAGTAGCCAAGACTGGATACTGAACCCAGACACTTTGATGTGGGATGCAGGTGCTCCAACTAGCATTTTTTTTTTTTTAAGATTTATTTATTTGAAAGTCAAAGTTACACAGAGAGAGGAGAGGCAGAGAGAGAGGCCGTCCATCCAATGGCTGGAGCTGCGCCGATCCAGAGCCAAGAGCCAGGAGCTTCTTCCGGGATTCCTACATGGGTGCAGGAGCCCAAGCACTTGGGCCATCTTCTTCTTCTTCTTTTTTTTTTTTTTTTTTTTTTTGGACAGGCAGAGTGCACAGTGAGAGAGAGAGACAGAGAGGAAGGTCTTCCTTTTCTTCCTTTTCTGTTGGTTCACCCCTCAAAGGCCGCTGCAGCCAGCGCACCGCACTGATCCGAAGCCAAGAGCCAAGTGCTTCCTCATGGTCTCCTATGCGGGTGCAGGGCCCAAGCACTTGGGCCATCCTCCACTGCACTCCTGGGCCACAGCAGAGAGCTGGACTAGAAAAGGAGCAACCGGGACTAGAACCCAGGGTGCTGGGACTGCAGGCGGAGGATTAGCCTATTGAGCCGCAGCACCGGCCGGGCCATCTTCTAACTGCTTTTCCCGGCCATAGCAGAGAGCTGGATTGGAAGAGGAGTAGCTGGGACTAGAACTGGCGTCCATATAGGCCAGGGTGTTAACCCGCTGTGCCACAGTACCAACCCCTCCAGCTAGCATTTTAACTACCAGGCCCAACGTCTGCTCCTCTTTCATTTAAATTCATCTACTGTTATCTTACTCCAGGTGCTTTTCTTCCCTACCCTCACCTCCTCCCCAAAAACCTTTTGCCAAACCATCCAAAAGTAGGTTTTAGATTGCATGATAGTCCAACTCTAATTTCCTCAATATGTGGTTCCCAATATAGGGAAATTATTCTGTATAACCATATACCATTTCCATGAAATACTCCATCTTCTGGATTTGTAATTTCCCTCATAATAAGGGTCAGGTAGAATTTATCACCACCACCATTATTTAGACCACATCACATTATATCAGGAGGCACGTAACATTATGCTGCAAGTGGGCAGGCTTGGTTAATATGCTCACCACTAACCAGATCTCTTCACTTTATATATAGGCACATTTTCCTAGTGTATTTTCTTTTGTGGAATAATCATGGAATACTGTGTTTTAAATTGTGGATAATTGTGGATATATGTGTATGTATACAAACACACACACACATATGTTTGCCATTTTAACCATTTTTTTTTTTTTTTTTTTTGACAGGCAGAGTTAGTGAGAGAGAGAGAGAGAGACAGAGAGAAAGGTCTTTTTTTTTCCATTGGTTTGCCCTGCAAGTGGCCGCTACGGCCGGCATGCTGTGCCGATCCAAAGCCAGGAAGGAGCCAGGTGCTTCCTCCAAATTCACCATTTAAAAAAAGGTTATTTGCTTATCTGAAAGGCAGAGTGACAGAGAGGGAGACAGAGATATCTTGCATCCTCGGGTTTACTTCCCAAATTGCTGCAACAGCTAGGGTGGGCCAGGCTGTAGCCAATAATCAGAAATTCCATCTGAGTCTGCCACGTGGGTGACAGGAACTCAAGTACTTGAGCCACCATTGGTTGCTTCCCAGGTTCATTAGCAGGGAGCTGGTTCAGAAGCCCAAAGCAGAGCAGCTGAGACTTGAACTGTTGCTTCGATATGGATGCAGGTGTCACAAGTGACAGCTTAACCCACTGAGCCACATTTTAACCATCCTTAAGTGTAGAATTCAGTTTACATTACATTGTCGAGCAGTCATCACCATTATCTATTTCAAGAACTTTTTCATAACTCTAAACAGAAACTCTGTAACCCTTAAGTAGTAGTTCCTGTTCCATTCTCTCCTCCACAAGCACTGGTAACTTCTCATCTACTTTGTATTTCTGTGAATTTACCTGTTCTAGATATTTTAAAAACTGGAATCCTACAATTTCTGACTTACTTCACTTAGCATAGTGTTTTCTGGGTTTATCCATTTTGTACATGCATCAAAAGTACATTCCTCCTTATGGTTCCCAAATAGTCTTTATTTTTATTATTAAAAAAAAGATTTATTTATTTATTTGAAAGCCAGAGTTACAGAAAGAGAGAGCGCGCGCGCGAGAGAGCTCTTCTATCTGTTGGCTCACTCCCAAATGGCCACAACAGCTGAAGCTGGGCTGATCCGAACTGGGAGCCAGGAGCTTCTTCCAGGTCTCCCACATGGGTGCAGGGGCCCAAGCACTTGGGCCATCTTCTGCTACTTTCCCAGGTGAATTAACATAGAGCTGGCTCAGAAGTGGAGCAGCAGGGAATTGAGCCGGTACCCTGCAGGCAGCAGCTTTACCCACTATGCCAAAGCACCAGCCCCAAATACTTTTTTTTTTAAAATACTTTTACCCACTACACCGTAACACCTGCCCCATGTTCCTTGACTTCTAAAGTCAAGCCACATAGACCCAAAATAGCTCCCAAGATTGAGGATCTAATATCTCTTAGAGTTTTTGGAGGCTCCCATGGTCTTTGCCACGTGTTTTCTATATAATAGGCATCCACAATGAAGTATGAAATATATAGAAGCCAAACTTTCCCCTCATAACAGGTGGAGATGATTTGAAAACCATAAACTGTTTTTATAGATAAAGGACATATTTTGATGTGTAAACTTATATTTCAGTCATCAGTAAATATATTTTACAAAACTTTGTGAACAGGTGGTGTATAATTTAGTTAAGTTGCTTCATTAATTTGATATAATATTACTTAAAATAATGGTTTGAAAAATAATTCACTTCTTTTTGGAAAAATTATAAAAGATTAAAAAGTGATTTCTAATTAATGACTGAGGAATGTAAATATATGTTATACTACTTGAAAAATAAACACCTTACCTTCACAGAAAGTAAGTGCGCTTTGATAGGAAGGCCAGAGATTATGTGGTTACATCAGTCAACAGATTTCCTTCTTTTTGATTCTTCAAACATTTGAAGAAGCTGAATTTTGAGGCTGCCTTTGTTACTGTTTTTGTGAGCATCAACTTTTCTCCCATTTTAGCTGAAAAGTCAAACATACCTTGTTATTTCTGTAATCGCTAGCTTGATTTCTTTTCATACCTCAACAGATAATTGAGGAGGAGGCTGTGATGTTTCCAGCAGTTTCATTGGGACAAATTCATTTTGTTTAACCTTTGTAGGACTGCAGTGAGTAAGATGTGAAACCTTGTGACTAGGCGTATGTTCAAATCCAGATGTCCTGGAGTTATTTTACTAATGCTCTTTGTGATGACGTATTTAGGAATGCTGGCTCAAAGAAGTATAGACTTTTAGAGCTGAAAGTGAATATATGATCTACTCCAGCCCTTTGCCTTGCAGAAAATCAAGGTCTGAGGAAGGAAGTTGCTTGTGAAATGTAATTTACTCAAATATTTGCTGAGTACCTGTCATGTCCCATATGCCATATTGGGTAATAGGAATTCAGTGGGAGCAAAATAGAAACGATTCTTGGTGTCAAGAATCAGGGAGTGTATTTGCATTGTGGAATGTGGTGTGATCCTGCCTTTAAAACACTTTTACCTTTATGGTCTGGGCTGACTCATCAAATCTATCTGCCCAAGAGGTTGGGCCCTGCTTCTCTCAACATGTCTCTCAGTGCTGCAGGATCCAACCAGGGAATGACTATCCTAATAAGACCTGTACACTGTCGTGCTCACTTGCTAAAGCCTGGTTACTGTGAACGCTAAAGCTGGACTTGTTCACACAGTAGGATGGGGCATTTTTTTTTTTTAACCAGAAATTGCTGATTTTTATGTCTGTTGGCTACCATTGTTTCTCCACAGCTTTGAAGACATTTTAAAAATCAGCTGATGGTTTAATGTGTTTATTCCAAAGCAAATTTAATGAACCTGAGCTGTAGCTCAGCTTTTAAGAATTGCCCTCTTTATGAGTGGGCATTTAACTTAGTGGTTAAAATGTATTCATCCCACATCAGACTACCTGGGTTTGATCCCCAGATACTGCTTCTGACACCTTTTCCTGCTAATGCAGACCCTGAGAGGCAACAGTGATGACTCAAGTAATTGGGTTCTGGCTGTCGCTGTGGCTCACTAGGCTAATTCATCTGCGGCGCCGGCACCCCGGGTTCTAGTCCCGGTTGGGGCACCGGTTCTGTCCTGGTTGCTCCTCTTCCAGTCCAGCTCTCTGCTGTGGCCTGGGAAGGCAGTGGAGGATGGCCCAAGTGTTTGGGCCCTGCACCTACATGGGAGACCAGGAGGAGGCACCTGGCTCCTGGCTTCAGATCGGCGTAGCGCCGGCTGTGGCAGCCATTTGGGGGGTGAACCACTGGAAGGAAGACCTTTCTCTCTCTCTCTTTCTCTCACGGTCTTAACTCTGCCTGTCAAAAAAAAAAAAACAAATAAGGACAAGAGAAGTATTGGGTTCTTATCACCTGAATGGGGAACCTGGATTGAGTTCCCAGCTCTCAGCTCTGGCCTTGCCCAGTCCTGACCATTGTGAGCATTTGAAGAATGAACCAGTGGATCAGAGCTGTCCCTTCCTGTGTCTTTGTCTCTCAAATAGATAAAATTTAAAACAATTGCCTT